GTCGTAAATCTCGAGTGTTTGTATGTACAGTATATTATATACCAACTATTATATTATGTACACCTATCATATTATATACACGGACAAATAAAAGTGTCTGTATAAATCGAACAATCTTAGACAGAATCTCAAAATAAAAACAATAATAATTAAAAATAAAACTCGTAAAATGTTTTTTGAATTAATGGAAAGCTAAATAATATGACAAAGTAAACAACAAACGTATATTATACATATAAGTTATATAATATAACACATAACAAACGTATAAAATCTTACGTTTCGATTAGGGATTATTGTTTGACTATAATATACATAATGTGCCTAATGGCTAATAGTAGTTGTATACACTTGAACGCGACTTGAACGTTGTAATCTCGTTTTACTACCTACCTACTCATTATTTGATGAATATAATATTTATCGGATAATTTTGTAATAAAATAAATGGATAATGGTTATGGTTAAATTAAATAGTTATTACGTTGTTTTGAATAATAAATTAATATAATTATTTATGTAATGCATATTATATTTACTTGATTGTTTTATCTATTATTTTATGAATAAAAAATGAATTTATTTGTAAAAAATACGGTAATAGTACAAATTGAAATATAGATTATATTATGACATATTATTTTATTTCAGAGCTTTCTAAAAACTAAAAAGTAATTATTAAGGAAACTACATAAAATGTGTAATAATTCAACAATCAAATATCGATAAAAATTGTAGGTAGGGACGTCGGGACATGGAGCAGCGTACGGTCCTCCCGTTCATGGGCGTCGGCAGACATTTTTATTGGTATGGTGGGGGAGGGGTTGAAATGTTTCTCAAAAATAATTGACGATTTTTTTATAAAGAAAATTCATAACTTATTAATATTATTGAGTAGTCACTAGCTAGTCATTGCCAAGTAAGCTAGTGGGCATATTAAACTAGAATAATATAAGATTTCATGTGCAACAATTAATTATTTAAACATTTGATAGCTAATGCGGCCATGATAGATAATATCTGAGCAAATATAATTAAAAATCGAGGGGGGTAACACCCCTCGGGACCACCACTCACCGGTTGCTTGTTTTACAATGGGTGACCACCTGATAATTTAAGTAGTTAGTATATGGCACCTTACGGCTTACACACGTGAGCCTTCAAAATAACGTTTTAGATAAAAAAAAATCTCAATTCCACGTCTCCACAGTAAATAGTAATTTAACTTAATTAAATACTTGCTTAAAATGTTGGTCTATAATTTGTGTTTTGTTTACTTTAAAGAGTTATTTTATAAAATCAAGTATATGCAAGTGTATTTTTTTTTATAGTTTTAAAATAATAGAATATTATAACAACTTACCTTATAGGCTATAGTGTCACATTCAATCGTTCTTCCGAGGAAATTGAATTTTTACCAAATTATAAGCATTCGGTTTTCAAATGTATTCACTTGTTTACATTTCAAAAGCACAGTTGCTATGATTATACTCTAAGTGCTGGATTAAGACAACAATGAATACTCTCAATGCGTTTGTTATCTTTAATTCAATTTAGAGAATTTTAAGCCTAATTTTAATTGCTAAACTATTTTTCGAGTGCCTGTGCGAAGTTCCCTATATATCACGGTATATAGCAGAATGTCCTAAAAATGTTTTTTTTTATTGAATATTCGGTTTTGTTTTGTACATATTTAGAACATACAAATACTGGGAACTTCGAAAATAGCTTTAAATCGTTGAATCCAATATATACTTAACCCATCACCATAATTATTGTCCTTAGTACACAAAGTAATGAAACTAGAAATGTACTCATTCGAATCTCGTTTCGAATAAAAATTCTCAAATAACTAAATATTTTCTTAATAATTAAAAGTGAAAATAGGAGGTTCCTATTTTAAAAACAGCATTTCGTATCGTCACAAGATCATCCTTAAGTGGTACAAAAATCTCAAGTATTTGAAAATATGGTCTTCGACTCTTCAAGTGTATATCTATTTAAGAGTATATATACTCATATATAATACATATAATTTAAGAGTACAAAATATATGGTCCATCGCTTTGTTTATCTGCACCTGCACTCGGTTTAAGGTTCGACCTGTTGTAATAATGTATGAGGGTCGTTTTTTTGTGACACGCAAATATAATGTTAAAAATAATTATTATCCTTTGGAAATATGACGCTACCGTATTTGTTATTGTTATCGTCGTCGTCGTCGTATGACGATGTAGACCAATCAAAACATTCTCGCGAGTCTCTCCAAGGCTCATTCGACCTTGGACCGTGATGATAGGTGTCATCGTCCCACATATAAAACGTTAAGTATTATTAAATATTATACGGAGCGCACGTTGTCATGTTGTCCGGTGTATGAGTTCACACGTCGTTTCGTTTACCTATACTTTCGTATTTTTATCGTTTAGTTTCCTCCGACGGAAAAACCACGAAGTCCCTCGGGATCACTGAGTTGTGTTTTCCCCATTTCCCGCGGCCACGTCGGGAAATACAACTCTATTCGCCCTGTATATACATTGCGCACATCGGTCCCCTCCCCTTCGATCCACGCTTGGAATGATCATATTATTATTATTATTATTGCGTCGCCGCGGCGGCGGCGCGACCGGCCCGACCGTCACTGCAACCTATATAATACCATTGTGGGTGGTCTCTGTCCTCCCCTCCACCTCCACCACCTCCACCTCCGTCGGACGCCGTTTGGATCATATATTTAAGTTCGAAAACGCATAACAAACACCACACGGTGTGCGCATCCAGCGGCCGGACTCGCTATATAATATTATATACCTATATATATATATATATATTACGACAGTGTACATATTATGCGTTAATAATAATAATAATAATATATTATAAAATCGGTGGCAGGTTTCCATTTTAAAAGGCGACCCGCGCGAGAGTCGAGTCACGCAACCGCTATGAAATTTAAAAGTATACCGAAATCACAGGCCGTTATACTCCGTCTCATAACGTCAATATACCTACGATACTTTGACAACCGTCAATTATTATTAAACCAGCTGCTCCTAACAAATTCCTGTAAAAAATGGCCATATTTTAAACGCATTTCACTCTCAAAAAAACAAATAGTTTTTGCTCAAAATATTATAAGTCACACGACACAAATTACGAATATACATCCATATGAAATAGTATAATAATTATTATTGTACATTCGAGTGGACCTTATGAATATTCAAAACGATAATGTCTGGTTCTAAATCGACTCTTTATTTCATATTATTATTGACGTACAATATGATAACACTACCTTCGATTTTATTGGTGTGACGATGATATCTTCCCATGGTGCACTGTGCAGCTGCAGTATAATAATATTGTATTATACGCGTTGTGTGCATCTGCTGCAGCAGTGGGCCATTCGGTAAATAATTTACGATTTAGTCCGACGCCGTTTCTTGTCTTATCCGAATGTTCGAGTCGTATAATAATCCTTTAATCCTTTGGACCACCGGAGATCAATAATATACGAAAACAGACCCACGGGGTAGTGCCGTCGGTTCTCGTGCATAGGACATAATATTATCGCCGTTTCCAATTATACATTATTATTATATTACCGTTGTCTCGGAGTCTTCGCAGTCTTTACGGCCGGTTCATGGCCGAAAATCGGGAAAATCATTATATACTACACGTTATAAATAAAAACAGGAGCCCGCCTTGTCGTTTATTTCACGTGCTAATTGAATATAATATAACAGTATAATATTGTAACACGGCGACGGCGGCTTAACTACTGCAGTTTTCGCCACCGTGCCTAGTCCGTTTTCTAAACTATATAACTCAAAGTCATCCCATTATTATAAAAATATTATATTTCACTCTCAGCTGTAGCAGACACCCGGCAGAGAAGGATTGTCGGATAGAGATCGGTTGGAGGAAAAACATAAAATAAAAATCGTTCAAAAACGCCATTTGTTGTTTGTTCGTAAAAGTTTTTTTTTCTTCGACTAAATAAAAATGTATTTTTTTTTCACAATGGCAAATTACAATGTAATATGTCATTTAAAATAATAACAGACGAAGGAGCGTAAAGTAAAAAAAAAAAATAAACAATACACATAAAACATAATATATGGCAATTAAAGTAATTAAACTATACATAAAACGACTTTGTACCAAATAGTGATCGATCGATAATAATATACACTCATACACAGATTTAAAAAATATTTTTTAATATATTATATTATTATTAGATATTAGATACTATAGGTATGTACAAATTACAATAATATCATACAAACACTGCATGACTTTATACTATACGCAGCTGAATGTAAAGCGATTATAATATTAATATAATATTATACACGCAATATAATCTCCTAGAATTATATGTAATGTACCTAAAAGTCTTAAAATCACAATCCTTACATAGATTTTGATGAACGAGTCGTCGGAAACAAAAAAAAAAAAATCTTTAGATATAAATAAAAGATGTGAACTGGCGATGATGCGATAATCTCGAAAAGGAAAACATGCAAATCGACAGCACAAATTATAGGTACGCTGTGTATTGTATATCGTAGGCTGGGGATTATTCTCGGCGAGCTTATTCGATTCAAATGATTTAATTTCAGTCTGATATATCAGTTAACAAGCGTCGTTCTGGCGCCGTAATAGTAAATCTCTACCCAACAAGAACCCCCCAATTTTTTTTTTAAATCCCTAGAAAACAAACCCCCTCAAAATATTGAACCCCGAGTGCTCGGCTATATATAAAATAGCGCCTCCTTGAACTGTATAATACACTATGCCTATCCCTACGCTTCAGTCGATCCGATCTACGAATAAATAATAATGATAGAAAAAAAAACACGAAAAATAATGAGAAATTTAGGTATATGTAACAAAACCGGAAAAACGCGTTCCGGACTGCCGAAATAATAGTTGCACGTACCGGCGCGCGTCTTGATCCGTGGAGCCGCGAAATATAGTGGCCGCGGTCATCATCGCAAGACTAGGTAAGCGGACGCAGCCGCCACCAGCAGAGTTACCGGAAGTAAGGCCTCGGCGGACCCTGCTGACTCTTCGTCGTCCTCCTCCTCCTCGTCGAATTCGTCGTCGTCGCAACCAACGCCGTCCGTCGCTTTGTACCTGTTCCGGACGTCCGGCTGGTAGTCCGCGTTGGCCATCATCATTTCCACCTCAGCCCGGTCAGGGTCCAAGTCGAACATCTTGGGACGGTGCCTTTTCCGGTTCTTCCGGCCGCCGGACTTGTTGCCTCCGCCGCCGCTAGTGCCCCCCTGCTGCTGCTGCTGTTCGAGACGCGGATCCGCCTCGCCGCCGTAGCACAGCCTGACCATGCGCTCCTTCTGGCGCAGACAGTCGACCGCCGACTTTCCGGTGCACCTGCACCGGTTCATCTTGGAAGCCTTCTCTTGTCGTTGGAGTATCTCCACCGAGTTGAGGCACCGCTCAGTGCACGCCACGCCGGTCAGCATCCGTCTGCAGTACGTTTGATAGTAGCCCAGTGCCGCCGAGCACACCGGGTCCACCGTGCACACCCAACTGGCCAGCTCACATGGCACCACTGTCTCGTTCTTGGACGCCTCCATCACAAACGGCCGACACACCTCCACGCGGGCCTTCATCTCCTCGCAGTAGCGGTCCCGGCAGGTGCACTGTAAAAATCCGTAAGTTAATTATTTTTCTTAATTATTATTACCGACTAACTATATATTATGGTCATGATATTTTGATTCGATATGGTTAGGTTATAGTATTGGCGGCGGCGCTCGGTGGAGGTATATTTGAATCACGAGGTTCACAAAAAATTAATGGGCGGGTGTCCTATAGGTAGGTCGTAGGTAGCTATGAAATGAAAAATTAGTTTGAACAATTTGTAAAGGTTATTTAACCTCCATACAATTTATACGAATTTACTATTTGATGAGGAGTGCCGAGTGAACAAATGTTTAGGGTGGGCGGTGTAGAAATATTAAAATATGAGAGTCAAGGAAAAAAATGTTCAAGCCGCCACTGTTAGTATATATATGTATTGGTTATATTATATACCACGTTAAGTACAGGTTATGTGTTATAAGTTAGAACTGGCTTTTCAATCCTTATTACTTTATAACGTTTTTTTTTTCACACCATTATATAACAGCTTGTTTATAATATAATATAGTCATTCACTCCGTATATGCATTATTCTGTTTGTAATAATATTTATTATGAAGGTTTTGAATTATAACGAGGTCACATTTTTTTCACAGTTTTGAAAGCGTACCTATGCTAAAATTGTACTAAACACCAAGTATAGAGAGTATAATTTATCACTAAAATTTTAGTATTGTGTCGACAAACCTATTTATTATTATTATATGTTGCAATATTATATAACACTCCGTTTTAAAAAAATTTTAGATTTTTTTACTCGAAAACGATATATATGATGTACAGTTTAATAGAATGTCTGTCATAGATATATGTACAGTGGGGTTGGTTCGATATATTATATAGCATACAGTGAAATGGTTCAGCGAGTTGTTTTCAGTAGATTTTTTACAGTTCTATACATAATTTATAGTCGATACATACCTCTGCAGTATTTATTATATACATAGGTACAATATGTATACAATAATTTATATATATATATATATAGGACGAGTGTATTAATCGCCATAAATCAAACCCCCTCTTAAAGATAATCGACCCCAGAGGCTAAACGCACATACTGTAATGTGACGGTGAGCGCTTACTTATTTTTTTTTTTTAATTGAGTTTTCAAACATATTTCACGAGAATCGCGGCGACGGGTTTCGTACCCCGCAATTACGAATTCGACGATACAATTTCATTGAACTATATTTTTTTTTTCTCTCGCCCAATTAAAATTTCTATTTCGAAAACATCTGAATCCCGGTAGACGTTAAATTATTCGCATGTTTTTTTTTTTATCGCGATGCGAACGCCGCGGCCTGAACGCAAACACGTACTGTCGTTTATTATATTGCTGGCTGCAGGTACAGCACGAACAAACGACTATATAATATAATATACCAATACGGCTTTAAAATAAATAAGACTTCACCGGTGACTTTAACGAACACACCGCGATGTTTTGCATGTATATTATGCTGTATGGGGCTATACATATAATGGTGTATAAAAAAATCCGATATCGTATTTTAGCGTCGTTCCCGCGACGACATTGTGCATAAAATATCAAATCTACCCACGCGCTGTTCCCTCAAAAGTATAATAATAATAATAATATCTTTGCGTCGGACACGAGACCTGGCTTGAAAGAGGACGCATTATTACTATTATAACATGGATTGATTTCGGCGGAAATACACGAAAATAATCGATACTATATATTATATTTGAAGATGTTCTTCGTTCACAGTATAAATCGCATATCGGGGCTGTGAATTAATGGATTTGCAAAGTTTATTTTTGCTACTTTGTAGAAAAAATTAAGAGGACTTTACAACCGCATTACGTGTTGTCTCCGTCTTACAAATGTGTACAAGAAAGCAAAAACTGCTTTGCTAGGGTAAAAACTAAAAACCACTCAGGCCGTAGTCCGAGTTAAGCTACTAAATGTTCACACTATATAAAGAGGAGAACATTGACTGTTTAAGGTTGCTTTTAATTTTTCGATATCACAAATACAAAAAAAGTTCTTATTATTTTAAAATGAATTATTTTTGAGTTTTTCAAACTTGGATAATATTATTTTAGTTTTGATGTCTAAAAAATAAAAACAACGTCGCACAGTAAATGTTCTCTTCTTCATACAGCGTGCGGGGTAGCATCCTCTTAAGTGCCACCAAAATTTGTTATCTTATATAAACACATTTATATTTTGCATAATTCTTATAATATTATATAGATATAGGTACCGGAAAAAAGTATTGTTATATTTTTTTTCATTGTTATTATTTATAACATGAATAATATTAGTTATTTGGTCGCCATTGTTCATTACGTATTTTAAATTGCGATACGAAAACTGCAGAAATATTAACATGTAGATAGGTACTCACGTCCAACATGCGTTTGCCGTCCTCGGTGGATATGAGCGCGACCAGAGCGTACAGACACGATTCGGGGCACTTGGTCGCGTCGTTCTGGAGCATCCTATCACACTTGTCGAAGTAGTTGTGCAGGGCCAACGAACAGCCTGGACCGAAGGCGCACTTCAATCGCACGTCCTCGCACATCACCTGGCTGTTGTCGACCACGGCATTGGCGTCGGCGTCGGCGTCCACCAGTCCCACCAGTTCTTCGGCGCCGGGTGACGCCAGCATGCCCGACAGGAGCAGAGCGATTGTCATCGACATGGTAACAGTGACGTAGATGGCGGACATCTTCACCCGCAGTACTGTTACTGAAAAACGAATGGTATACGGTCAGTATAATATATTTGCAGGCTGTAAAATTACATTTTTTTGTGGGGGTTATCGTATTATAGTGAGTTAAAATTTCATATTTCGCCGAGTAAATAAATATTGTCTACCACCTAGAACCTATAAAATGTATATTTTATACACCTACGGAACGGGTATTAAATAACAATACGCGTAAGGGTGCCGAATAAGACCGAATCAATTCAGCGCTAAATTAACCTCTAACTGAGTACCTCCCTACGCTTATATCATGACAAAGTAGGTAAAAGGTATCGACCGTAAAGACCACTGCAGTGTTGTAATAGTTTTTTTCTGTATCTCCTTCACCTCCGGCGCATATGTCGTAGTCCTCCAGCACTTCTGGTTGGTTGATTTTTGAATTTTATATGATGTATAATATGTATATGTATATGGTCGACAGCCAATAAGAAGTGGAGAACTACGATATACCCGGTGCAGTAAAGAGCGCAGTGGATGCGTATCAAAAACCCATATATAGATACCAATCTATATATTTTGTCATGGTTTATATGATGGGGTGAAAACGGATTGAAATCCATGGATACTCGCTTCATGGTTTGAGTTATTTTATTTACCAGTAAAAAAACAATTAGCCGTGGACATAAAACCGTTTTAACACCGTCATATTATTAATATTATAAACGTATATTAACTGTTATAGGTATATAATTTTACATTATTGATAAATATACCGCCGTAGCTGTTGCAGTCGAACGTGAAGATATACATCGTACCGAAATGGTTACAACACTTTATAATATGGTAGTGAACAAATATTGTATAAAATGGATACTGCGAGAGTACAGCATACGTATTGACTTGAAAATTACATTTTACATACTATAGTAGGTACTATATTTTTAACACCTCTGTTGATGCTCAGTTTCAAATTGATAACAATGATAGGTAACTGAACTTCGAGAGCGGAAAATTGTTATCACAACAAATTTAAATCAACAAAAAATTGTTGTTATTTTACAGCTAATCTGAAAATGTTGTATATATATATAGGAACTGAGATACTCGTGGTTATTGTATGCAGTGGCCATTGAAGATAGTATCAATCCTTAAATTTCGATGAAAATGTGCATAATTCCTCTCTGCAGAGATAATATGTTACGGATACCATATTAGGTACTTATATCTATATATAAATGTATCTTCTTGTATCATATGTGTAACTAAAATTTTTAATTTGGCGTCAAATAAATATTTTTATTATTATTACTGTTTTAGTTAAAATAGTCGTTTGGCGGAGATGGCAAATTTGAGACATTTCAGGAATCGAGACGACCTATATGTGGCAGATATCTATAATAGTAGCTACTTGATACGTAAATCTAACCAATGTAACCAGTTGAATGTTAAAAGTCATAAACATCACGTATGCACTCGGGCAATATATAGGATTAGTAGGATTATATAGGATTTAGACGACTTATGTACAAAAACAGACTGTTTTTTATTAATAAAACCAGTATCTCTTATAATAATATGTGAGTAATGACTAATGAGTATAGAATACTATATAATATATAGGTACACTATTCGCCGAATGCGGAATAATAATATTTTAAGTTTTAAACATGGGATCAGTGATCCGTTGTCTAATTTCGCGAATTTCTCGTGTACAAAACTGCAGTATAATATATTAAGCCATATACCGAGTGTAAACATTTTCCACTGCACACGCGGGAAATAATAGAAACCAAACGACTTCGGAACATGGTTCGTTCATGAGTTTACCTACCGCACGGCCGAGGCGAGCACGTAAGTCACGAAAACGATATTATTTTATTATACAGACCCGTATGTATACCTACGGTCTATATTAGGTGGTTTGTTATAGTAGTTCGTTCTCGTCACACACGAGAAAAAAAGACGGTCCGAAATCAGATTCGTCGTCGAAAACGAAAGAAAAAATTCACGAAACCGATAAAAATGCCAACTGCGCTCTCATCGACGCTGCGCACGACGACAATCAATGTCAAATCGATCGTAAATCGAAACTCGCGCGCATTAATTACAAAACATCGACTACAGGTATATTATATTGAATCCGTGAGTCCGCATAACAACATATTATATGGAATATCATATATTATACGATCGTAAATTTAATAATGTTATGAATGCGATAGACCTGCAAGGCGCATTTTTCCACGGCCATAAATCTGAAGCTGGCTCAAACTCCACTATATAAGACATCGTGAAGTATAGTATACGATTAGAAATTGTTTTCTCGATTTTTAAACGAATTCGTAAGAGTGTGACTGATATCTATACATGTCCACCCCTCCGAAACTTTGTTATTTTGTTGACTATTGCAGGATTATTTGTTGACGTATATGATTTTAGGAGTCTTAACAGCTGTGTTATCCGTAACGAAAATCGCGCTACTCCAATCTCTCCGAAAATATCGAAAACGGTCCCACTAAATACCGATGCGCAGATATTATAGGCATATAGGTATGTGGTATATATATATACATATATAGCACAAAAATAAACCCAACTCGTCTGGTATTGAAATTAAAATTATTTAAGTACCAGTGACCAAACAAATTATATATGTCACAAGCAGACTTTATAGGTGGGGATTGAACCAAATTTGGTTTTAAAATATAGGTACACCAATAATATTGATACAGTAAGTATATCATATAATAATATGTTTCTAAATAAACAAATATTTTTTCTGGGAGGGAGGGTTGAGCGCTTTATAAGAGCCTTCAATTTAGTGGCACCCCCTAAACACCGGGTTAGTTATTCTACATTCTCGGAAACAGCACAGTCTCACGCGCATTCGTCTGAAAAACTGTGCGTAAATTGTAATTTTCGACAAAAAGTGATGACAATTCTTTTAATTGTCGTGCATGCCAACCAGCGAGCGCGTTTGTATGGGTACTATAATACGCATTCACATACAGCGAGGAATACGTGCGAAATGGACGCGCTCGAGTTTTATTATATTATTCACGTATTGTCTGCTCGACGCCATTGTGCAGTGCGTGTCGCGCATCTCGTTTCTCGTCGACTGCAGCAGCTACCTGAATTATTGTTATTATTATTATTATTATTATTGTCGTCAGTCGTGTGCGTACATATTTATTATTTATACAATATCAGCTCTTATTATATTATATTATAATATTATTATTATAGTTGGGCACTAGCAGCAGGAAGAGGGCCGAAATAAACGGGGAGCGATTGGACGAGTACCTATATAATATAGAGGACGAGGATTTATCTCACCAAATCATGACGTTATTATTATATTAATACATATATAATATATATTATGTTATACACACGTGTGTGCGTATTATATTATATCCGTTTAATTTGTTTGACTTGTGCACACACGTAGGACAGTAGTGTGTATACACATACACGTGCAGGGGCACTACCAGGCGCGTTATGATGTGCATATATGTATATAGTGTACAACTACTGAGCAAACACTACACGAGCGGTGAAATCGAATACACAACATCACGCACGCCACGCCGCCGCGACGGGCAATACAATATTATTATGCAGTCGAGCGCGGGGGCGGACCTATCTACGTATATGATTATTATTATATGTTTGTTTTCGTATAAATACACACACACACACACACAATTTTTTTCATCCGTCGAGCACCTATATCTGCAGCAGTGCGCACGCGACCCGTCGTCTCGTCGTCAAACACTCAAACTCATCGTTTTTATCTTATGAAATATATAAATATAATATTAGAAGGGCACCAAGAATACTATCACTCGTATGTATTGTATTTAAGTACCAAATATTATTGTATTAAACCCACCTAAATACGCATCTCAGACGGGTACCGGAAATCCCCTATTGTACGATATAATATGATGGAGATGCGAGGTCGAATCGCACTCAATGAAAATATAATAATATACAATACCTATAATAGGTTTACCGATATGAACAGAAACGGCGATCGAGTATTGCTCGCGGATTTGAAAACGCGAGCACCAGTCGACTGAACCTGCAGAGGTCCACTAAACCAAGCTTGGCGGCCAGTAGGGTGGTGAAGGGGTCTTCCCTGGATTACGCCATACGCGTTCTATAATTTAATAGTCATGAATTCGGGGGGACTGCAGGGGTAGTTTACCCGGTCCAAGCTCACCCGTCATTTTTTTTCTTTCGAAATATTGTCATCTCTATAATCACGTCGGTGATTTTATACGATAATCCATTTCCAACAAAAACAAATAAATATTCCGGATGTGACCTGCACCTATTTTAACGTTGACAAATTATTATACGACGTATCTATAATCGCAATTTTATATTATCAATTTTACACGGCGGCTTTCTCTCCGTGGTTATCAACGATCGACGAAACTCGAATGTTGAATAATTAAAAAATATATAATATGAACAAAATATAAACTGTATAGGTAGGTTAGGTTATAGATATAATAGTTTATGTAATTTATACTGCAAGTACAAGACTCGGAAGTTCGTCAAAATCTTTAGAGTCATAAAAAGTTATAAAATAACGTAGGCAGTAGGCACTCGTATATTTGTTACGGTGTACAATGGCTACATAAAAAATTATGAACATAAAACTATATACACCGGCCATGCCGCTATATACATATATCATGGCCGTTTAAATATAATAATAATATATTATACGATATGCTTGATTTAAGTTGTTTTTAATTCACGGTACACCTACCGCAGAATCTATGGTAAAAAAAATTATCAACGCATTTTTACGATCTGAAAATAATCGAAACGGTTTAATCCTTTAATTGTTGTCTTTTTCGTTTGTAATATAATATTGAAACTGCGCCGCAGACCCACATGGTGGAAACATTATATGCGATACGGGCGGCATCTAAAGGAATCCAATTATGAACTAGCTATTAAAATTTGAAAATTCACAAAATCAAATCAAAGCCCGCATAATT